AAAAAGAGAAGTCCCATCACAGTAATATTTCAAGAAGGCTAAAATGCCTGTTTTCAGGATAAAAATACAATTAAGAATACCTTAGCTGAGCTTGAATTCCTGGCTGCTTGGTATTTTATATTATCTGATTAGTTTTATATACTAACAACACAAGATTATTTACTCCCCAAATTCAAACCATACTCTTTCTTTTAATGGAGAGGAGGAGACAACTGAACACACATTTTGGTTCTGAGCAATGACAGGTTAGCTGAAGGGAATGAGTTTCAGGACAGTTTTATATCTGATTACAAGCGATGAAACATGACTTTAATTCTGTCCCTCCTATAGAATGTTGTTCTTTCATGACCACTTGACTTTTTCAGGAACCAGAATCAGGAATTCCCTTAAGACAGCACCTTAAAAGCAAAACAAAAGACTCTGTCTCCTAACACCAAAATATGTGAAGAATTTGTTAAAGCCTACTGAATCCAAATATTGATTTCCTTTTTAAAACTAAATTCTGTATTAAACAAACATGTTTATTTTAAGCATTTAAGCATGAACCTTGAAACCTGAATAGTTTCGGAAACTATGGGACTCTTACAAAACTAGGCCATCAATATATTCTCTGACTGAAAATAACTTGATCTACTGCATTTGTCTTCAGTTTCTAAACCAAAAAAATCTCCTCACAGTTACAGGGTCTCATGGTATCCTCATTACTCATTAATATTTACTGTAGTACCTTTCCCCCTGTTTCTAACTTAGAAGCATCATTCCTAGAAGAAAATGAGTTGACTGACCTATCAGTTTTATTTTCTAATCCTTTCTTTTCCTTGTGCTGCATATTAAAATGTAAAGAAACAGGACCAGCAATTCTCACGCTACCTTCCTTCCCATCATCAGAGAAATCTGATCCTTGAGAGACTTAGTTTTCTCAATTTTTCCACTGTTGATAATTTCCCTAACATGTCTCTTCCAACAGAAAACGCTCAGGTAGCTGCATTGAGTACCACAAATCTTATATGGCTATCTTGAGATATTATAAGTTATGTACAATAATTTTGTTTAAGATACCTATTCTCTGTTAGAATGAACTAGATGTAGGCCCTCCCTTGTGGTGCAGTAGGTGGCACAGCACTGCAAGTGAGCCAGCCACGTCAGTGCTAGTTCAACCCCCAGCCCTGGAGGTGACCCACATGGCACGGCAGACCTCTTCAGACCCACCTGCTGTTCCCTTAGCAGTGTACTTCATTGATCTGCCTGTTCTGCTCCCTACTCTGTCTCTGGAGAATCCTCTCACTACCCCTGCACCTCTGGCCTGCACTCCAGTTCTGTATGCATAAATATATAGATCTTAAAAAAAAAAAAATGAACTACCAGACTCATAGGTTACTAACCCCCCCCCCCAAGAGGATACTACCACCTTTATGATCAGTTAACCTGTTTGACAACCTACTCTAAGTTTTTCACTTTGATTTGTTATTATTTTCACGTACTATACAGGGTAACATCCTGTAATCATTAGAATATTAGCCCCTCTTACTCCAAAACATTTTAACCTTTTTTATCTGAGCAACTGGTAGCATGGAAACCATCCTTCACAATATAATGAGCACCAGTTGAGTATATAATAGGGCACTCTGTTGAGAGTATGTGAGAGAGAAGGGGAAAGGAGAGAGGAGATAAAGGATAAATACACCTCATGAAAAAAGGACGGCATATTTTGACATGCATAACTTTAAAATTCTCAAGCACTCCTGAAGTACCAAATAGTGTCATGAAATGATGTGCAGTTTTGCTAAACAAGAATCTGGATCCCATCAATTTGAGGCTAATGCAGGGGAGCAAGTCACTTAGCTAATCATTAAGCCATTGTACAGACCAAAATACAGCAGTGTTTCAATCATTTTTTTCATATTTTTGAGGAAAATACCATAAAGCAGGATTTCAACCACCACAATGTTAACATTTTGGGGTCAGATTTTTGTTGTGGGGGCTGACCTGTGTATTGTAGGATGTTTAGAAACATCCTTAGCCTCTTTAAAACATTTTTTAAAAATAAATATACAAATGAATTTCTCAGTAATTTGTTGTTAATTTGATTTCATTTTTGCCCAGAGAATATTTTTTTTTATTCAAGTGGTTGAAATAGAAAAATAACTTATTTTTTATGTTGGTTTAGTGCTTCTTGAAATAGTTCATTCACATGGTTTAAAATTGAAGACACAAAAAGCCATACAGTAAGCCCTTTTGCAGTCAACCAGTGGCTAAAATGAAATTCAATCTTTCTGTGACTTTGACTGAAATAGGAGCTATGCAAGATATTTTAATGCCCCTTTCCATATTCATAGGAAGATTATGTTTTTTCCCTCTTTCCAAAGAGCTGAGGCCAAAGTACAATGTTCACTCCAAGCCAGTATGCAAGGATGACGACATTCAGGTTGTCCAAAGACACCTACAAAGGGCAGCAAGTTGGCCAAGAGGCCAGATTTACAGGAAGAAATATGTCATCTACACTGAACCAGTAAGCAGAGAAAGTGAGCAGCCCAACCCTTCATGTGGGTATTCACCCCAGCAAGGTGGTTATCACTAGACTAAAACAGGACAGTGATCACAAAAACATCCTAGAAAGGAAAGGGGCAAATACAAGGAAGAAACAGTGGAGAAGATGCAGGAATAAAGTAATCTTATACACAACTTTCATTAAAAACTGTTAAAAAGTGGGAAAAAAAAAGTTATACAGTGAAATAACTACCTTCTCCCTTTTGTTTCCCAGTCAACCAAGTCCCTCTGCCCAGAAGCAACCAGTTTCTTTTACTTTACATGTACATTTTTCTTAAGTACTAGTCACATTTTCTATTTATCAGTGTTACCATACAAATAAGTTTTCTTACCTTTAATTAATGTGGCAGAGAGATAAGAAACCTTTCATACTTTCTTTAAGAGCCTCTCTCTCAACAATTTTTCCCATTAAAAAGACCCACATGGGGCCCTCCCTGGTGGCGCAGCGGGTTAAAGCACAGCACTGAGAATCTAGGGCCGCTTCCGCATGAGTTCGATTCCCGCCTGTCCCGGAGGTGACCACATGGCGTGGCAGACTTCTCCTGACCCGCCCCCTGCTCCCCTCAGCAGTGTACTTCCTCGATCTGCCTGTTCTGCTCCCCACTCTGTCTCTGGTGAATCCTCTCACCCTCCACATCTCTGGCCTGTACCCCAGTTCTGTATGAATAAATAAATAAATCTTTAAAAAAAAAAAAAAACCCACATGGATAGTCAGAATTCACTTCATATTTTTAAAATGTATGAATTTTTGAGCTTTCCATAAATTTTTCCTTTCAACCAACTGTTAAATTGGTCTTACAGAAGATTTTTGTTTTTAAAGAATAGTCTAAAAAAGATAACTTTAGCACAAGCTTCTTTCAAGTTTAATCTATTTCTGACTCTCTTTGGAGTCTATTATTATTTTCATGCCACAGGGGTACACTAAATGCCACTTTATTACATATAACAACAGGAATATTCATCTTTGGTTTAAAATTCTGCTCCCTCAAAGATTTCCCAATTTTCATCAACAAACCTTATGTCACAAGAATAAACCGTGACATTAATTGTAACAACATTCTGCTTTTACCTTATAGATCATTTATATTTTAAAATCTTATTCCATATACACAATATTGCAAAGTGAGACATAAGAAAACATTTTTATCTTACCCATAGTCATCTATCAGGTGAGAGCCAAGTACCACCACATCAAGTTCAAAGAACTCAGGCTCCGTTTTAATGCCAAACATGATTGGGGCAAGTTTTGAATAATCGGCACGATTGCAAGTTGCAACACAAACTCGAAGTTTTCGGTTATTCCCATTCTTCTCCATGACTTGCTTTTTTTGTTTTGAGAGGTTCTTAAAATAGAGTTCCTGAAGTTGCAAAAATAAACATTCTTTACAATCAAAATGACTATAATCAAAATGACAGGTTCTACATAAAAACATAGAATCTTGCAGTTTTAAGTACAGTGATTAGCACAGTGATTCTTAACCTTTTTTCTAACCCTACTTCTATGTGACACACCCATTGTTGTATCCAAAGTTATGAAATTCCAGCAGATTATGACTCAATCCCTTTCTCTCACACTTAAGAAGGCACCCTAGCTATGTTGGTCATACATCAACTCTCACTAATTGAAAAGGTTTTGCAAATATCAATTGTGAAGCTATTTGTCATATCTCACAACTAATTTCAAACACACCAGACTATTACAAAATTGACCACTAACAGTTCAGCTCCTGCACTTACAGAAAGGGAAATACAGGTGTGGAGAGGAGAAAGATTTAAGATCACATCTTACAAAGGATGACATCTATTCATCCTCACATGCTTTTACAGCCCCTAAATAACAGTGGGATTAATGCTGAGGAAGAGAAAGATGAGTAAGATACAAATACACACACACACACACACACAGTAAATCCTATCTTCAAAACAAACAAACAAACAAAAAAACCCTACTTTCAAAGCCTCATTAACAGCTGACACCCAGTGTCTACAAACTTGACAACTCCAAATGCCTATCAGACATAATCTTAAAGGCACATTCCCAAACTAAACTCACTTTTCTTTCTCAACCTGTCCTTCCTGGTTCTCTCAGTATAAATGTCCATTCAGATACCTTTACATCCTTGTCTTCTCTGTTCCTCACCCTAAGTCCTATACCCTATCAAATTCATCTCCTGAATATCTTTCAAATCTGTCTCTTCTCCCTTCACACCAGAATACCCCTATTCCAATCCTTCACTTTAGGTCAAAATGTTTTGCCTATCTTTCTAGTCTTGTCTGCTCCCGTGAAATTTCAGAGAGATTGTTTCAGAGTTCACAGTCTGATTCTCATGCTAACCAGGGCATACCAACTATGGATAAAATCCAAACTGTTGATTTGGATGAAGCCCATCCTTCCAAATACTTCTCCTCTTCCTACAATTACCTTTACTGCTAAAGTCATACTGAAGTGCATATAGAGTTCAATGGTTTCCATATCTCTGTGCCTTTCTAGATGCAAGTCTCTCTACCTAACACTTATTTTTCCTCTTGCTTATACTCTCTATCCTCAAAATTCAGTCTGCATGTCACCTTTTCTGGGAAGTCTTCCCATGAAACCTAAATTCTTTCTCACTGCCAACCCTTAGTTGCTTCCTCCCTCTGAGCACTATCGCATTACCATACACACATATACCATCGCTCAACTCCTCTGCCCACTCACCCATCCCCATTGCATACTCTCCATTCAAAAAATTAAAACCAGAGACAAGGAGGGGCCCTCCCTGGAGGCACAAGGGGGTAAAGCACAGCACTATGGAGCTATCCCCAGCCACTGCAACACGTGGGTTCGATCCCTGGCCAGGAAGGTAACCTACATGGCATGGCAGACCTCTCTATCTCACCTCCTGCTAGCCTGCTATCCTGCTGCTCCCCTCAGCAGTGTATTTCAATCTGCCTGTTCTGATTCCCACTCTGTCTCTGGTGAATCCTCTCACCCTGCCCCCGTACCTCTGGTCTGTACCCTAGTTCTTATATACATAAATAAATGAATCTTTAAAAAAAATAACCAGGGGCAAGGGATAGGAGATATGTTTTATGAAACATTTTAAATATATCTCATTTCATGGACCAATCTGAATATTTATTATTCAACGAGTACATCAATATTCAGAACCTGCAGTCAAGAACCTGAGCAGTTGGAGTAAGTATACTCAAATAAAGACAGAGCAGCTGTCTTTTAGATCAATAATAAATGAAGTGCAATACCCATTTGTAGTCCTCTGCTATTGGTACACAGGTACTGTTTACCAGAACAAACAATTAGAAAACTGCCCCATCATGAGGCCTATAAATGCATGATCTCCAGTAAAAAGCTAATTCCACCCAATGGAAAGCACTTGCAAGCTAATGAAAACAGGGATCTGTCAAAAGAATTGCATTTGTAAGAGCTAAACTATCCAATCATCAAAGAGACAAAAATGTTATTTCAAAAATGGTGTTCTGGTATATAATCTTTCTTCCACATCAGTAACTTTAAGCTGAAAAAATTGTTGGTAATATTTGTTGGGTGAGGCAAAGCAAATCATTAGTTCATGGTGTGTCAATTTGTATGTTTTAAAAGAACATTAAATTTTCCATCTGACAG